AATGACATGACACGAAGTATATGTGAACTGCTGTATGAAAAGTGAATTTACTCTGTAAATCTTCACCCAAATCCTAAAAAAAAAAAAGAATGATGCTTTAATAAAAACTTTATTTAATAAAAAAAAATCCTGTGCAAAACAGTGGTCTTAAAACTAACATATACATGCTCTTGAAGCATTTACAACTGCCTTTTACAGAAGAAAGGCATACCTCTCACCCATTCCAAACATCCTTAGAACAGGGTACATAGTTTTTCAGTATTTCCAGTGGTGGTGAAATGTTAGGGATGCAGAACAGAAATTTAAAAGCATTGATCCATTAAGCTCAACTGGCATAACATACTACACAAAAACACTGTTCCACCTCCTACTGGCATCTTAAAAGCTTGCAAGCAGCCATTTAGATGCAATGATGGTTCTCTCTTCGTCCAGAGCAAAGAAGAATGAAGAAAAACAAAGATGCATAAAGACAATTAGTCCCAGGGACTGGTAGACCATGTGATCCTCAGCCTACATGACTGTGAGACCAGAAGAACTTACTGGGTGCCCAGCTACTACTGTCAACCACTGAGGGGGATCTATGTAAGAGATCCTGGATAGAGTGGGAGTACAATGAGGAACAAAACTCACAATCATTTAAAAAAGTAGGGGGAGAGGAGGAGCAGGTTTGCTGGTCTGATAGAGCCTGGTGGAACCCCTGAGACGATGGCCCATAGCTGCCCTTCAGGCCTGGAATTGAACCCACTCCTGTGGCTTCCAGCCAAACAAAAGACAGGCATATGAACTGAACATTTACATGAGGTAGATACACTCCTTGGAGAGATGAATCATGGGAAAATAGAAGGCCTGTGTATACACAGGGAGACAGCTTGGGGGTCAGGAGCGCATGGGAAAGGACATAGGGAAGAAGTGGCTATGGGGAAGAAGTGGGAGGAGAGCTGTTGCATTACGGGAGATTGTAGTCAATGTCATGAGACAAAGTGTATGTAAATTGCTATGGAAGATGAATTTGCTCTGTAAGCTTTCACCCAAATTATAGTAAAAATTTAAAAAAAAAAAGAAAAAGAATCTACCCCCCCAAAAATGACTATATTTCCTCCTGTCTCATAAGTAATTTTGTTAAAAGTGTAGATTGGCATTTAAAAAATATATCTATTTTTCTTAACTCCTTTTCAGTATACTGGATCAAACAATGTACCTTAAGGGAATGAGTAACCAGTACAAGTAATAATCATTTGATGTTTCTTGAAGAGTCTCTCTGGTAAACACTTTTCAGAAAGTGGAAAGCAAATAACTCCAATAACTGGGTAAGTAATCCTTTTGCAAGTCAGGAAGCTTCCAATTCTTTAATTTAAATAATACTGGAGATATATATCGTATTACAAGCTTTGAGATCTTTAAAAATGATTAACAAAATAATTGAATGAATAAATAAATGGGGAAGATAAATCTCTCATGCAGAAAAACTGCAAATGATTTATGTAGATACCCTCAAGGAGGTATAAATTCCCACTCCCTTGTGTGTGCTGTACCTAGTGATTTCCTTTCAAAGAAGAAAGTGAAAAGGAAGGATAAAGAGTAACTTCACAGTGGAGAAACCTTAGAAACACTATCTCCGCCAGGTGATGAAGTACATGAAGTACTTTACAGTGATGTACCCTTGATAAAATGTGATGAAGATGGAACTTTACCTCTGTGGTATTGCTCCGGAAAACACCTAACTTCAATGTAATCATGAGAAAAATATCAAACAAATCCCAAAGGAAAGACATTCTACAAAATATCTGACCAGTACTCTTCAAAACCATCAAGTTCATTAAAAAATAAAGAAAGTCTGAAAAAAATGTCATAATCAAAGAGCTGCCTAAAGCAACATGACTATTAAATATAATATGGTATCATGCATAGAACTCTGGAATAAAAAGAAGATAATGGACAAAAATTAATGAAATTTGAACAAAATGTGCACTTTAGTTAATAATGTGTTAACACTGTTCATTAACTATAACAAATATACTAGTATAAGATGTAGGTAATAAAGAAAACTGAGTGTAGAGTATACAAGAATTTCTGTACTACCTTCTCAATGCTCCAAAAAATCTAAAATTGTTTTAAAATAAAAATGTTATCAAAAGAAAGACTGACAGCAAAACCATATTGAGATACTACTTCATGCCCATTACAATAGCTACAATAAAAAAGACACAATACCAAGTATGGATAAGGATATGGAGAAAATGGAATTCTCACAGACTGCTGATGTGACTGTAAATAGTGTAGTTGTTTTAGAAAAGAATCTGGTAGTTTTTCAATAGCTTAAACACAGGGGGTACCATATGACTATGACTCAGGCATATATCCTAGAGAAAACAAAAACATATGTCCATACAAAAACTTGTACATGAATGCTCACAGCTGCACTATTCATAATAACCAAAAAGTGGAATCAACCTAAAAGTCCATTAAGTGATGAATGAATAAATAAACTTATGAATGCATAAATAAATGAGATAAATCCATATAATAGAGTATTATTTAGCCATTAAAAAAATGTAGTTCTGATACATGCTACAGGATAGTGAACCTTGAAAGATATAAAATGAAAGAAGCTAACCAAAAAAGACCATATACTATATCATTCCATGTATAAGAAACTTTCAAAACAGGCAAATCCATAGATACAGAAATTAGACTGGTAGTTTCCTAGAGTTGCAGGGGTTGAGAAGTAATGGGAAGTGACTGCTACAAGGCATAAGGTTTTCTTTTTAGAGTGATGTAAATATTCTAAAATTGATTGTGGTGATGGCTGAACAACTCTGTGAGTACACTAAAAACTACTGAATTGGACACTTTAAATAGGTGAACTGCTGGCATGTGGATTATATCTCAATAAAGCTGTTATAGCGTTAAAAATGAATGACAACAGATTACCATGTGATATTTCAAATTCCTCATAAGAAATTTTCAATGCCTTAAAAATGTTATTCCATTATCATATTTAAACAAGATGTCTTAGTCTCTGCATGGAGAATGTGTGTGCTATATAAAAAACTGAAGCTAAACTCTCCATCAATCTAGCAATGTAACATCCATTAGGTAACTGAAAACAAATATTGTTGTTGTTGTTATTTGCCAAGTCGGCCCCGACTCATAGCGACCCCTCCTTGGGTTTCCGAGGCAGTATCACTACGGAAGTAGGATTGCCCAACCTTCCTTTCGAGGAGTGGCTGGTGGATATGAAATGAACCACCAGCCTTCTGGTTAGCAGTCAAGTGCCTTAGGCATTATGCTACCAGAGCTCCTAAAACAAATATTATTTACATCTAATTAAGGCATTTTCAATAATTATTAAATGCAAAAAGTGAAAATATACCAAAAGTTTAATTATTTTTTTAAATCAACTGTATGGTATAGTGCCTAAGGCATCTGACTGCTAACCAGAAGGCTAGCAGTTCAAACCTACCAGCCACTCCTCAGAAGGAAGACTGGGCAATCTATTTCTGCAGAGATATTGCCTCAGAAAACCAAGGAAAGGTCAAATCAACGTGATGGCAGTGAGTATGGTTTTGCTTCTTTTGGTATATTAATAATGATTCTAATACTTCAATATAGAAAAGTTTTAACAGTTACAGTCTTACTGTCACAGCAATTAAAACAAGTGTATATAAACTTTAGTTGCACAAAAGTATAATTGGGTAAGCAGTATAAGGCTATCAAGCATAAAAATTTCAAGTGTTAGAATAAAACTCAGTAGGGGTAAGTGCAATGGAAACACAAATTCGAGGAGAAAATTTTCATCTTTTAACTATTTAAATTTATGACTGAAAATTGATGCCCACTTAAAAATATGCAATAAGGCACACAGTTTTTTAAAATTCTTTTGTAAATCACTAGTCTAAATAAACATGATTAAAAATTTATGTATCTAGATAAACAGACTGATCAAAAGATGGATAATCAAAGGAAACTGAAAGAAAAATAAAACCTTCCAAATCAGAAGAAACATCCACAAACACATGTATACAAAACAAAGAAAAACACCTGATAATGAAAGCTCTTTAAAGTACTATGTAAAGTCAATTTTGAGTTTGTAAAGATTATAAAGCTTTTCTGCAAAAAGTAGTAAGAATCCTAAATAAGGAAGCAACTTTACACAGAAGTCATGGAATCCAAAGAAACAGAATGGAACTAAGATAATGGTAAGAGGAAGAATCCAGACTGGAAAATTTCTTCCACAGTGAATGTACAAGAAATGAGATTCAGGTGCATTATTGCTCAATAAATACAATTCTTCAGAATAATGCATACTAGTTAAAGCTCTCGCTGAAAATAAAAGAGCCAATTAAAGATTCTTCTGTACTGGTTAAATGACTGTATTTATTTTCATTTTACTAGAGGCAAAGAAAATAAAACTTTAAGCTCCACCCCAAAATAAGATTATTCCTGATGTTAACTCCTTACCTGACATTCTGAGTAGGATTCCACCTTTCAGAAGGGAGTTCTCCACTCTGTGGGTCATCTACAGGCGGATGAAGAATTGAAATGCATACATCTCCATTCTGTAAGAGACAAATATAACACTCAATAAATACTCAACAAGACATTTGCAAAAAGGGACATCAGTTCAGTTGACGCTTCCTTTATTACTAGAAAACTTCTTTTCTTATCATTACAGAAGAAAATAATTCTTTCACTTCATTTTCAAAATCAAAGCCAAAGAAGAATTAAGCATTAACTTAATATTACATTCATTTTGATTGATCTTCAAGATATATTTGTTAGAAAAGAAACATGCCTGTAACACTATCCTAGTGGAGCTCTAGTGAGCTCTAGTGGTGTAGTGACTGCTAACCAGAAGGCTGGCGGTTAAAACCCACCAGCCGCTCCTCGGAAGAAAGACTGGGTAGTGATGCTGCCTCGAAAACCCAAGGAGGGGGGTTCTATGACTCAGAACCTACTTGAGGGCAGTGAGATTTTTTGTTTGTTTAATACCATCCTTGCAAACTTTTTAAAAGGAAACATTTAAAAACAGAAACAGACAACCATGATACATCAAGAATCAAAAGTCTTGAAAAGCAACAAAATACCTCTCTTTGTTTTCAAATACATCTGTACTTAAATAAAAACAAAAATACCAGACGTTTCTTAAAAATCTGCCTAACATAACATAATATACACTCTTCCACCTCCTTCTTTGGCGAGTAGTGACTGGGATCTTAAAAGCTAGCAAGCTGCCACCTAGATGCAACGATGGGTCTCTCCTCATCAAGAGCAAAGAAGAAAGAAGAAAACCAAAATTAATGGAAACAATCAGTCCTCGCGACTGGTACACCATCCAATCTGCAACCTATACAACTATGAGACCAGAAGAACTAGATGGTGCCCGGCTACCACTGTCATCCACTTGGAAGGGATGTAGGAGATCCTGGATAGAGAGGGAGAACAATGTGGAACAAAACTCAAAATCATTTGGAGGGGAAAAAAAAAAAGATGGTTGGGACCAGGTTTGCTGGTCCAATAGAGCCTGGTGGAACCACTGAGACTATGGCCCCTAGCTGCCCTTCAGGTCTGGAATTGAACCCACACCTGTGGTTTCCAGCCAAACAAAGTACAGGCATGTGAGTTAAACATTTACCTCAAGTAGACACACGCCCTGGAGAGAACAACCATGGGAGAAGGAAGGGCTGCTTATGCACAGGGAGACAGCTCAGGGCACAGGAGAGTATGGAGAGATGGACACTGGGAAGAGGTAACTATGGGGAGGAAGTGGGAGGGGAGCTGTTGCACTGTGGTAAACTGTGGTCGATGACATGAGACAAAGTATATGTGAACTGCTGTATGGAAAGTGAATTTGCTCTGTAAATCTTCACCCAAATCACAATAAAAATAAGAATATAAAAAAATCTGCCTAAAGACATGCTATTATCACCTTTAATATCAGTCGGTGGTTTCAATAACTACGGCTTACAGCAACTGCCTTATAGTTATTGAAACCACTGATTGATATTAAAGGTGATTAACCCTAACTTCCTCAGAGTTCTCCCTGGACAGAGGAACTTGTCACTATGGCTATATTTTGCTTTATGAACTGAATCTAATTTAACTGAAACATACATGGGTTCTCTCCATATGCAATGCAGAGCCTTGCTATTGGAAAGAAAAGATAGGGTCAGTAAGATAAAATCCCTCTCTTCTTGAAACTTAGTCATTAATGGAGGCTAAGAATTTAAATTTTTAAAAAAATGAACAGAGAGGTAACTACACATACATTAATCTTAGGTACAACTTGAATTACACATATATATACACAAGTATATATAATTTACACACACACTCAAATAAATAATCATATTGAAATAATGTTGTTGTTTGGTTGTTGTTACGTGCCATCGAGTCGGACCCGACTCATAGCGACCCCTCCTTGGGTTTCCGAGGCAGTATCACTACAGAAGTAGATTGCCCCATCTTCCTTCTGAGGAGTGGCTGGTGGGCTTGAACCGCCAGCCTTCTAGTTAGTAGTCAAGTGCCTTAGGCACTATGCTACCAGAGGTCCCATATCGAAATAATAGCACTTTTTAAATAAAATAAATACCAAATATGATATTCTAAACTGTATTATAGTTAGATGCCATAAGGAAAGTAAGAAGAATGAACTACACAAAGAGGAAAGAGAAACTAGGTATGCTTCGTCAGAGGATACATGGGAGTGGGGAGTGGGGTGGAAGAATAACAAAAGGCTTTGTGATCCATGAAGCTTTGAAATGGGCCTTGAACAACAAGCACAATTTTAGCAACCAATTTTAAAACCTAGACTCAGGCCAGAATTAAATAAACCAACATCAAAAACAGCAGAATAAAATATAAAATAAAATACACTATACTGTGGTAACAAACTTAGTGGCTTAAAACAACACAGATTTATTATCTTATAATTCAAAATCTGGTATGATTTTAACCTGCTGGGTTAAAATCAAGGTGTTCACATGGCTCTGTTCCTTTTGAGGCTCTAGAGGAGAATCTCTTGCCCTTTCTAGCTTCTAAAGTCTACTGACATTCTTTTGCTCATGCCTCCACTCCTCATCTACAAGCAAGCAATACTGCATCTCTGTGCTTTTCTTTCTTCCACCTACAGTTCCTCTCGCTCGCCTTTTCTGCCTCCCTCTTCCACTAATTTTAAGGATCCTTAAGATCACACTGGGTCCATCCAGAAAATCCAGGATAATTTACTTATTTTAAAATCAGATGATTCGCAACCTTTATTCCACTTGCAATCTTAATTCACCTTTGCAATGTAACCTAATACATTTATAGATTCCAGAACCAGGATGTGGTCATCTTTTAAAAAGCCCATTGCCATCAAATTCCAATTCATAGTGACCCTATAGGACAGAGCAGAAATGCATTATTCTACCTACCTGAGTAATGAAGAGCCTAGTTTGGCTGAAAAAAAAATTAGGCCAGAGGAATAGGTTATTTGGTTCAGAGTTTAATTACGGCCAATATCTCTTATTAGTATAAATGCAAAAACCCCTCAACCAAATATACTAGCAAACCAAGTCCAACAGCATAGTAAAAGGATTATATACCAGGACAAGTGGGGTTTATCCTTGGAATACAAAAGTAGATCAATGTAAGAAAATCAATCAATGTAATATACACACATTGCTAAGGGAGAAAAAAAATCACATGATCATCTTAATTGATACAGAAAAGGCATCTGATAAAATTCAATATCCTTTCATGATAAAAAAAACATTCAGAAAACTAGGAGTAATAGGGAAATTCTTCAACATAAAAAAAAGGATATTTATAGAAAATCCACAGCTAACATCATATACAAATGAGCTCTGGTAGCACACTGGTTAAGGCGTTCGATTGCTAATCAAAAGATTGGCAGTTTTAACCCACCAGCTTCCCCACAGGAGAAAGACTAGGCAGTTTGTCTCTATAAAGATTCACAGCCTTGGAAACTCTATGGGGCAGTTCTACTCTGTCCTACAGGATTGCTATGAGTTGGAACTGACTCAGTCAGTGGCAGTGGATTTTTAACATAGTACTTGACGCTGAAAGACTGAAAGTTTTTCTTTAAGATAAGAAAAAGTCAAGTATATCCAATTCTACCACTGGCATTCAACATTGTTATGGAAGCCCTAGCCAGAGCAATTAGGCCAAGAAAAATAAATTAAAATATCCAAGTTGTAAAGGAAGAAGAAGTAAAACTATCTTTATTTGCAGATGACATAATCCTATATACAGAGAGTCCCCAGGTTACAAATACCTGACTTAGGTATAACCCCTGTAGTTATGAACCAGCTCCTGTAAAGCCTATTACATTAAAAATTTGAGGTACATACAGTGATTTTCAACAATAAATGGGTGCTACTTTGTGATGTGTGTTAAAACATTATCATCAATGAATTATGTTAAAGATGTTTTAGCACAATAAAAAGTGTTTCTTTAATGTTTTTTATGTATACTATATATTAAGACAAATATTTGACTAACTGATGATAGATACAAACCATACCTAACTGTTTCGACTTACACACAAATTCAACTTAAAGCCAATTTAGGAAAGGAATTCATTTGTAATCTGGAGACTTCCCTGCATAGAAAATCCCAAAGAATCCACAAGACAGCAAAATTGCAGGGTACAAGATCAACACACAAAAATCAGCTGCATTTCTATATACCTACAAAGAAAAATCCAGAAAGGAAATTAATAAAACATTTCCACTTATCATGGTATCTAAAAAATAAAATTCCTAGGAATAGATTCAACTAAGGAGGTGAAAGATTTATACATTGAAAACAAGAAAGCACTGATGAAAGAAATCAAAGACCTAAATAAATGGAAAACATCTCATGTTCATGTACTGGAAAAACTATCTTATCAATCCTACCTAGAGCAATCTAGACATTCAACCCAACCCCTACCAAAATTCCAACAGCCTTTTTTGCAGAAATGGAAAAGTCAATCCCCAAATTCATATGGAATTGCAAGGGGCCTTAAAAAAACTAAAACAATCCTGAAAAGAAACAAAGTTAGAAAACACACACTTTCCAACTTAAAAGTTACAGTAATCAAAACTGTGCTGTACCACTATTTACAATAGCCAAAACTTGGAAACAACCTAGATGTCCAACAACTGAGGAATGGATAACCAAACTTTGGTACATTCACACAATGGAATACTATG